TTGCACAAAGAAGCATCTAATATAGATTATTTAAATAACAAATGCATAGAACAAGCATGTACTATTGAGGATGAAGATCCCAATTTTAGTAATTTCTTTTGAAACCCTAATCTTGAGGTTATTTTAATTAAGACCTTAAATTTTTACTTTATCGCAAATTTAACCCTAGAACAGAAAACACATCACGGACGAAACCATGCAAACACTAATCGACCCTAGTCGCCTCGTAATCATTTCTAACACTCTAATATTAATTATTTAATTCCCTAATTATAGATTGATCGCTCAAAATCCTAGTTTCCGATTTTCATCATTTTTTGTTCGGCTATTCACCTTTTAATTCAAAGCAAAGTAACTCAAACCAAATTGTTTTTTCTAACACTAATTTAATTAATTTTACACTTTAAATAGATATTTTAATTGAGCCCATGCCCTCACACTTTATTAAAATTGCACTTTAGCCCCAAATCATTCTTTATATATATAAAAAAGTACAACCCATTATTATATTCTTTTTCCACAAAATATCTATAATATATATGAGTTTGTACACAAAAATAATTTTAAAAATCCCTCAAAATCAACCTCACATGGTCAGCCACCCTAGTATATACAATGTAGTGTACTTTTTGGAACAAATTTCTTAAATCTTGGAAGACTTTTTGACTTGAAACACAAATCATGAAATTGTGTATGTACCTCTAGTTCAATCTTGACAAACCTATAATTAAACCATGATTTAATACAGAATTATACACCCTAATCATCCTTCATTCCATTACATTCAAACTAAATCCAAATTCATTCCATTACAATCCAACAAAGGACATTTTAGACAATTCACCACAAATTTTCTATAAATAAAACCCCTCTCCTAGCATTTTTTTGCACATCAAACACATACACTAATTTCAGCAAGAATGAGAAAAAGAGGAGAGAAAGTGAGAACTTTGGAAGAGGAGGAAGGAAAATGAGCAATTCTTGCACAACACCTTTCCTAGGCAAACACGTGAGTCACAATACAACCCTCTCTTTCATTTTCTCATTCAAATACATGATCTTAGAGGTTTAATGTATCATTTTCAAATGTGTATTCATAGTGTTCTTGTGTTTGAAAAAAATATTTAGAGCCTTGTTTCTTCGTTACTTGTATTTTTGCTTAGTGGAAGCAAACTATCTTTTTCTACCTACTTCTCACATTATTTCCAAAGGCATACCTTCATTCCAAAATGAGTTATTTATACACTATTTACCATGTTTTCATCATAAGAGAAGTGGAAAATTACTCATGGTTGCCCTCTTTTTCAATTACTTTTCTTATTTCAAGCTTTGCACAAGAAAGACTGGTATTTTTAGCCCACTTTCAAAGATTCTAGAAAAATGTAAAAAATCCTATTGACCTCATTGTTATGTCAAAACATTCCTTAAAGTGTTAGATTTCAAGTAAAAATAGTTTTATTGAAAAAGAGTGGGTGGTTTAAGAGAAAATCTGATTTTCATAACAGTCGATGAATCTGGACTGTGCTGGAACATTTCTTTAATACCTAAAAGCATAAGAAAGCTATCCCATTTTTGAAAGATGATCTACAAAATAGATAAAATTATCTACGAACCATAGAAATTCTGAGTTCGGAAAAATTTGAAAATGCCTCTTTAATTGTGATATTTAAAGTGAACCGAATCTAGAAATTTATTTTCTTATTAATGATTCATGTTCTTCATTTCTTGAAAGTGCTTGTCATCACTTGTTGAGCCTTGGTATGACTTTTACATATGTTTGTAAATATATTTCTTTACAATGGTGCTTTTATAATGCTCATGCTTATGTAGAGTTTATTGTCTCAATAGTTTGTTCTAACCTTAACCTAAAACAAAACTAGATGGGGTGGTATTGAGTTTTCGATCACTTGAATAATGACGAGATGATAATATGTTAATTTCAAGTATGGATTGATGAACGTATTCTCTAATTGAAGGTTAAATCTTGCATAAATAGTTAGCTTAGAACTTTTGAATGGACTGGTCGTATTTGGACCCTGCGTATTTATGGCGAATAAGGTTGGAAGAGGTTATGGGCAAGGCCTTTATTTTTACTGTCTTTTTTGAGGTCCTCAGTTGTCACTACGCAGTACGTAACTGTTGTAGGCATCCAGGATAAGGCCTGCAAAGCAGCAAAAAAGGGGGGCATACTGAATAATTCAAGTCTAATTTTTGCGGTTGGGAGGATGAAATCTCTTTGGGGGATTTCTAGATTACTAAGACCTAACTTTGTAACCATTTCCTTGTTTACCTGATTATCATGCTATATTGTTTATTGTAAATATGATTGGGAATTGGATTGGGAAAAATAGATAGGGTGAGTGTGAGTTTACTGGGCATTTAAAACTCATGGCGTTTCATGCTAGGCATTGAAGACAATTAGTCGGTCGAAGGCGAAGCCAAAGCATTTGAAGATATATGGCTACCCTAGAAGAATTAGAAACTAGTTTTGTTAAGTCCCGTTTTGTAATCTTGTTTGGAATTGTAATATTTAAACTCTTGATGTAATTAAAACTTATCTCCAATAATTATTATTTTACTTATATATCTATATATATATATATTGTGAACTTATCCTTATCATTTCGTCAATTTATGTAGACCTTGTATTAATATCTTGTTAAGATATGTTAAAAATGTAGCTTTGTTATCTAAGGATATTGCACTTTGAAGGGAGGCTATATTGACTCCTTCGATCTTTCCTGGGATCTTACTTGGTTATTAACCAAAGAACTCATTAGTGACGTTTTCTAGACTTGTAACCTTAGAAAAACCCTATATTTATTTGTTAATATATATTCTTTGATGTTCTTGATTTTTGGGGCGTCACATGAGAGGACTTACCTGTATGCCCACTTAAGTGTCTTTCATGCAATACATAAATTAAATATGATCTAATATACAACTAATCATGCATGTAATGACCCTAAGCCTGGTTCAAGGCTACTAATATAATCTTTATGTACAAAGAGAAAGTAACAAGTAAAATGGGACAAATACCAAATAATGCATGCTCCTTACATTATTAAACAGAGCCTAACACATGTTTTAATAAAGTAAAGAAAACATGTGAGAATAGGTGAAAAAGCTAACAAAAATAATAATCTACACGATGAGATGATAGACTAACCCCCTAGCATGAACTAAAACCAAAAAAAATAAAGCGAAGAGATACTAAAATAAAGTTGAGGAACAAAATATGGATGTTTGGGATAATTTTTTAATTTTTTATAGAAAAATGTGTATTAAAAAATTGTGTAAAGAAGTGTGTAGGAGAAGATATGTAGTACGCTGTACGGATGGGAACACTATAGTTGGCTTGGTGAATATATGGGAAAAGATTGTCTCATTTTCAGGTTTTGATTCGACGGTGTTGTTTGGCCCATGGGGGCCCACCACGGGTCCCGCTTTTCTAATCAGAACCGTTCATTGTGTAGAACTCGTCGATCACTATATACTTGTAAAAAATCACATTAATTAGATATCGATAGCTATCTGATCGTATTAGTTTTTTTTGTCAACTATTAACTATAATACCATGTAATTTTTATACAAAACTGATTTGATCTGTAATTAGCGATATTCGATAGACGTGATTTTTACAGGCATATAGTACTAGACTAGTTCTACATATTAAACGGTTCGGATTATCAAAACGAGACCTATGGTGAACCCTCACAAGCCTAACTTTACCATTCAATTTATTGAATGTACACGTGTTATTATTATTATTTTTCCTTTCATTGAAGGTGGTTGACGTCAGTACATTGATGGGTGAAAAAAGTTAAACTTTTATATTAATTTACCATTCAAAATAATATTTGTATATTAATTTTTAAAATTTTTTTTAATAAATAGTGACAAAATTTTAATTTTTTGATAATTTTTTAATTTTTTTTTAAATTTGTCAAACCAACCCTCAATGTCCCTTATTATATTCCCTAATCATGATACCTTACCGGCCTTGTCTATCAATCATAATTATCCGATTTGGGGTGGTTTGTTTGCATAAAGCAGTAAAAGATTACATGGGGAGTGATGATAAAGAAATTGATGCGTACACGTTAAAGCAAGCAAAGCCATACTTGTCAGCGAGTCGCTCTCTTCCTCCGCCTCCGTCCAAGTTCCATCGCCTCATAAAAGAAAAAGAAAAAGAAAAAGAAATTTACGCCAAGTTTGGGAACACCCAAAAAGTTAAAAAGTCAAAAAATTACTCAAAAAGTTAAAAAGTTATCACTATTCACCAAAAGTCAACAATTACGGCTGCACAATTCCCAATTCTAATTTTCTCCTACAAATCAATTTTTACAATTTTTTATTACACATTTTTCCATAAAAAGTCAAAAAGTTAACCCAAACATTCATATTTTCAACCTCAACTTTTTAGTCTAAAAAGACAAAAAGTGCACTTATTTAGTCTTCTCCAAACCTTGGCCTTAGTGGTTTATGTTTGAATTTTCCTATAAATTTTTTAAAAAATTAAATTTTTTAATGTTTTAATTTTTTTGTGAAATTTAAAATTTTAAATATTTTTATTTTAGATATACCCCTTATTTAGATGTATTTAAGAAATAAAAAAATTCATAAATTTTTTTAAAAAAATTAAAAATACATAAAAATACAAAAATATACTGAATTGTCAATATATATATATACTATATTAGTTTTATATTTTATTGTAATTACGGTGAATTCTTTAAATGATTTTTGTCAATTTTTTTTTAACTTTTTAAGTATATGTATGTTAGATATATTTAAAAATTAAAAAAATTATTTAAAATATTAAAAAAATTTATTAAAAACAAAAAAATACAAAAAATAAAATTTTCTGAAAATTATCTTCCTACAATATGAATCCCCACCGCTATCACTGTCCTCCAAAAATAATAAATAAGAAAAAGACGACCCCATCCCATGTGATCAAATCACGCCCCATCCCATGTGATCAAATCACAAATAATACTAATACATTGTTTCTAAGAGAAAAGGTAAAGGGAAAGTCATCTTTTGCTTGCTGCTGCTGCTGCTGCTGCTCGGTTCTGAGAATACAAATACGAAGAATACCAGTAGTCTGTTTCTGTCTAGTTTCTATCTACTACTACTAGTACTACACTGCATTATACTAGTTCTCTCTCTATAATTTGTAGGTACACTTCACTTCTCACCTTTCCTCCCTCCCTCCTTCCCTCCCTCCCTCAACCTACTCTGCCTTGTAACCAAATGAACCACCAGGAACAGGTACTATCTACCTGTCTATCTGTTTGATTATCCATGTTGTTTCATGTTGCATTAAGATTCCATGCCAGCTATACACACACACACACATATATATATATATGAAAAATGATTTATCGCCTAATTTTGTCCCCCAATTTTACCCCAATGATGTGCAATTAGGGGAATAGAGATGAGAGAGGAGTGTGAGATCACTTCACATTGGTTTAGCCTCGTCATTGGGATGGAATTGGGGGTTTCAATTAAGGGATGTAACATATCTCATATACATATATGCATGTGTATATATATATATATATATATATGCGTAAGAGCACTTTTTGTAAACTCCAGATCAACAGCTTGTCTTACCTGTAATTCCATTAATTTTTACTGCACGTTCCACTCAATTCTCGTATTGGTTCTTTTTGATGTGTTTGAATTATGAATTTGGGGAAAAAGGAAAAAGAAATGGAAATTTTAGAGAAATATGAATGAATTTGGGTAGTGATTTGGAAAAGAAAAAGGGAAATGAAAATTCTAGAGAAATGTGAATGAAATATTAGTTCAAATGGAAAGATCATGGATTTGGATTTGAGGAGTGATTTGGAAAAGTAAAATGCTAAGGAAATGTGAATGAAATAGCTGTACTATTATAAAGTGAAGTCTTTATAGGGAAATTCTATTTCCACGCACTCTTTCATCTCTGTGCACAACATATTTTAGTTCACACAAAAAATTTGAAAAAAAAAATGTTTTACTCAGTACACAACCCATTATACTAAAAATACCCTCTTCTTCATCCTTCCAACACTAACCCTAATCTCTAACCTTAACTAGCCACTGTCGCCACCTCCACCATCATAAGCAGCATCGGTGCCAACACCACCTTCTCCCTTCGCAGTTGCCATTTCCCTAACCCCCTTCACTCTCAGTCACCTCCCTCAGTCGCCATCTATAACTGGTGAACCCTACTTCCTCATCCTTTGCCGCCGTCGCCCAGCTTCTCCCTAGTGTTATCCTCCACTATCTCCACCCATCGGCACCATAATTGTGACGTCCAACCGCTCCCCTTGATCTCACCTCCCTCTCTCTCTTACTCTCTCTCTCTCTCTCTCTCTCTCTCTCTCTTGTGCACGCACATATAATGGAAGGCGTAATCGTGATGGCGGAGATCGCAATGGTAGGGGTTGTAGGGATGGGCCATCATGAGGTGAGGGAGATGACAGAAGTGATTGAGGTGGTCAAGGGAGGAGGCCAGTGGCGGCGGTGGTGGTGCGGTGACTGGTTAGGGTTAGAAATTTTTGAGTGGTTTGGAAATTAGGGTCTTGGATGTGGAAGATAAGGGGTATTTTGGTATTTTTATTTTAGGATAAAAATGTAATTAAAAAAAATTTCATTAAGTGTGTAGAGTGAGAAGAATTGGTGTGTAGAAATAGAATTTTCTGTCTTCCCATGGTGTTTATGTTTCATAATTTTGGTTTTCCAAAAATATCCCTATATTAGTTATGTGGGCAGTTTAAGGCCTCGTTTGGAAACTTGTTATTTTAGTAACTTTTTGGCTTTTTACGAAAAGATGTGCAGAAAAATAGAGAGAGTGATGTGACAACTTATAGTGACTTTTTAGCTTTTTGGCTAAAATACTTAGTTCTCAAACGAGGCCTAAATCCAATTTTTTTTTTTTTTTCTCAAATCTCTCAACTTTTGAATTTTCCAAATTCATTTCAATTTTTAGATTTTGAATTTAATCATAGTTTACATTTTTATTTTATGAAACAAAATGATCATATGTGTACACATTGTGCGCACCATCGCTTCTAGTAAGTTAAAATGTAAAGATTATGGATTTGGGTAGTGTTTTAGAAAGGAAAAGGGAAAATGTTAGGGAAATGTGAATGGAATATTAGTTAAAATGGAAAGATCATGAATTTGGGTAGCAATTTGGAAAGGAAAATAGAGATGGTTAGGAAAATGTGAATAAAATATAAGTTAATTTTTTCCATTTCCCTTGCCCTTTTCAAATTCTTATTTAAATCAATGATCCAAGCGCAACATTTGAGAATGAGGGAAACCAAACAAATGGTTAAAATATTTCATGATTTGTACGATAAGGATTTAAGTTCTTGTTAGAGATTATTCTTGATTAGCTCTCCTTTGACCTTGTATATATGGAATAGTTGATTGCGTTTATTAGGGTTTTATTACAGGCTTGTGTGTAGGTATAATGTGTGTACATACGCATATGTTGTAATCTCTATATGCACCTCAAGTGAGATGAATAAATCATTCGATTCAATTCAGAAAACACTTGCATGGTATCAAAGGGTTTAAAGATTCATCATGTTCTTCTGCTTTTTACTTTCTCTTTCGTTTTTATTTGAATAGAGGCTCTGCCTCTTTTGATCCTCTCTGCTTCCTTACAGTTCTCCACACAGTTTTGTAATCCCAACAACCAAAACTGCTTGAATTCACACAAGAAACATTCACAAATAGAATTCGAAGCATAAAACTCTAGAAACATAGGCTCTAGATAGTAAATTTCAACATCTTAGAAGGGAGGCTACACATTGCTCATGCTTTCTGCTGCTAGGTATCACCTCCAAAGCAAATTTGCCAAATTATATGGAAAACTGATCATACTATCACTGCGCAGTGACAAAACACGTTAGAAGCTACAAAGCATAGACATGAACACGGGACACGGATACAACATGTCATGGACACGTCGACATGGAAAATTCCAAAAAAGTAAGACATGGATACAGTTCAGACATGCCACAAATTATTATATTTTGATATGATATTATCTATGAATATATTATATTATATTATATAGTTGTATATGTGCTTAATATATAAAAAAAAAAAATTATATAATTATTTTATACTAAAGAAACTTGTGTCTAATTCTCTTACATGAATTTTTAGACTATGGCAAACATATATAATTGTAACATTCGCCTCATCCTTCGTAGACATTTACTAATACATTTACGTCTCTTTTTCATGTTTCATTTAATTTTATGTGAAATTTCTATAGGATTATTCTTAATAATTATATATATTTTTCAAGATATAAGATATTTATGTCCAATTCTAAAATTTTGAAAACTATATGCTAACAAATGTCCAAGAAGTGACGAACATGTTGCAAAACGAGTGTAGGACATGTGTCCGAAATTAAGATTTTATTTTTAATTAAGGATACTAAAAAAGAATTCGGACACGTGTTCGAAGAGTGTTGGTATCTGACGCGGACATATCACCTTCTTAGAAATATCCATGGTTCTCGGGTTAGAAGTATTAGAGAGATAGAGAGGCCGTCTAGAAGAGAGGAAAGAGTCCAAACGGAGAGAGGGAGGGGAACCTGAGTTCAAAGTACATAGCTCGAGTGAAGAACTCAATTTCAAGTAATGCGTGTCTTGTTCTTATGATTAAAGGGGGTAGAGTCATCTATATATAGATGTTAAGCATGTGGCCTTAACTGAGTGGTTGTTTCGGGTTGGCTTTTTTGTGCTTTTTGGCCTTTTTAGGAGCTAAAAAAGATGTAGTGTATTTGGGAAGTTGCTAAAACAACATTTTTTTTGTGAGTGAAAAAATTGATGTGACATCTAGCTTTTTTAGCTGATGGAAAACCGGCTTATTGGCTTTTTAAGCTAAAATCTGGCTTTGTTGGGAGTTCACAAACAGCCTCTGAATACCCAAGAATGTCACCATATCTTATATAAACCATTAGACTTGTCATGATTTAGATTGACTTTAGAATTGTCTCTTGGCAAGAAACAATGTCTTTAGGAAGTTTCTAGAGCAAGTTCAGTGGCAAGGTCTTTACCTCCTTTGGGTTGGGCCAAGGCAACTTGACTTGTGTCGGGTTGCAGCACAACAACAAAACTTGTATTTCTAGTCTCCAATTCCCTAGAGTTGCACGATGCGTGCCAAATGATTCGACATACCAAGGCCCAACTTCTTGGCCCTGGTTTGGGAGTTGTGCAGTGCAATGACCATTGTAGTGAAGCAATGTGTAGGGTATGACCACTGCAGTAACAAGTTCATGGAATGTGCAAATTAGCCTTCGTGATAGAGAAGTCATGGGCTAGATTCCTTTAAGCTTATTTGGTGTGACCATGGACCTACGTGTTTCCCTTAAAGGTTGACACATGGAGGCCTATATTTGGATCTACAAGGCACACACCATTGCAAGAATGTCTATGACAGGTGGCATGTAAGGAGGTATCTACAATAATCGTTGGGTAAATTGCAGCCCTAATTTTTCTGGTTACTTAAAGCACTGCATTGAATTTTGTTAGAAAAACCCTAAGGGTAATCGATTTTGGAGGCCTATATTTGGATCTACAAGGCACACACCATTGCAAGAATGTCTATGACAGGTGGCATGTAAGGAGGTATCTACAATAATCGTTGGGTAAATTGCAGCCCTAATTTTTCTGGTTACTTAAAGCACTGCATTGAATTTTGTTAGAAAAACCCTAAGGCCATGTTTGTTTGGGCGGACTGGATTAACATTCCCATGACTAATAATCCTAGGACTACAAATTCATTGGATTATGTATCCTATCTTAACTAATGTCAAGTTTAAAATAATTAATCCGTACTTCAATTGTTTAACCAAACATCGGATTAATAATTTTATTGGAGTATTAGTCCAATCCCAAGCTCATGTCCACCTAAACAAACATGACCTAAGGGTAATCGATTTTAAAAAGTTCGGCTCTTCTTTGCTGAAATTGAACAAAATTGTGACTCCTTGTGCTGCTGTTGAAGCTACTGAACTTGAATAACTGATGCACCTGCAATTCAATCAAAATGATTTGACTAGTGCTTTGAAACACATAAAATGTTCTTAGTGCAGCTTTTACTAATGTATGTCATTTTATTTTTTATATTTGTTTTGTTGCATCTTTAAAGTAATTGGTCATCATTATTCTTCAATACTGTTTTTTTAATAAGTCATTAATCTTCTGCACTGTTATTAAGGCAGAATACATTTGTGTCCATTTCTAAGCTTTTAGAGAAATATTACCGTTCAGTATTTCTGCGTTTTTCAATCATTTGAAAGAAAAATAAGTGATTTGATGCTCTTGTTCATAATTGCAAATACTCAATTGTCTTCCTATTCCAGTGATGTTGGGACTGGTGAGCAAAGTTATTCTGCAACATGCACTGTTTTTCCATCCATGGTAAAAAGAAGGAAAAATATAAAACCAATATATATATTTATGTATTTTTAAATTTTTTGTTGTTAGATGCATGGTAAATTCTGAACCTCAAGTGACTTAATGAGACTTGAGTCAAGTCTCATTAAGTTTTCAAGCCAAGCTTAAATAACCTACTACTTGGCTGGACTCAATTCGTTTACAACTCTAGGAGATTGGAAAAGAAATAAGATCTTGGATTTATCTAGCATCTTAGCTTTATGTGGATGTCCCACGTCACTTTATGGCTTCTTTGAAATCCTACTTTTCATTAAAATGAAGACTATGCTTTTTGAGAAGTTTGATATGCTGTATAGTATTAAATATTTTTCCTCAAATGAGATTTATAAAGTAGCACTTTCAGGCTGTATTCTGGACTCTGGCATTTGAGAAATAATAAAGGAGTTATATTCCAGCGTTGAAGAGGTCAGAATTGTCACTGATAAATCTAATCTTGTACTGCAAACAGAATCATAAGGAGGTGTCTTCCTTAATATTATACACTCTATTAACTGAAGCACTGGAGAGAAGCATCGCCTTTTATATTATATGACATAAAACATGTTTGGTTGTTTTATTTGCTCAAGGGGGTAACTTTTTGAAATTAGAATGTATGATAAAAAAATAAGTGGAGAAGGTTTCCCTGAGAAGTGTGGACCCTGACATGAGGAAACTAAATTAGCATTGTAACTGACTGTCTTTAGTGTGCAAGGTCATTGGCAGTCGGTATAATACATATATATATATAATTTTTTCCGGCAGTGGTGCTAGTCGTCACTATGGATAGTGTACCGGTTAATAGTAAAGATTGTAGTGGAAGATGATATGTGAACCCTGCCACTGCAAATGAGCTTTAAGTTAGTAAAGGTTTTTGGATACATTTTTTGCATACTTTTAAATTATGAGGTCTTATGTACTTTTTATTTGGTTCCCTAGATGGCAGAGCCCAGACCTGTGTACACAATAGATCATGCACTTTCTACCATGGGATTTGGGAAATTCCAATGTCTTGTGCTTGCTTATGCTGGGCTCGGTTGGGTTGCAGAGGCGATGGAAGTAATGATTCTCTCTTTCATTGGACCAGCAGTTAAGTATGAGTGGTCACTCTCATCTAGCGAGGAGAGCCTGATAACCACAGTCGTTTTTGGTGGCATGCTAGTGGGAGCATACTCATGGGGCCTTGTATCAGATAACTTTGGAAGGAGGCAGGTTCTTTCTACTTCATCAGTCTTGTATTTTGCCTCTACCATTACTATACCTTCGCTGTTTCTGTCATAAAAGGGTAATCTATCTGTCACAATGTGGTATGATATATCAAATGACTTACAAGTAATAGAAATTATATCAATTTTTTATTCCAATTTTTTCATCTGATGCTTTGCCTATTAGGCTATTACCTGCCACCTTAAATGTTTTCTTTCCTTAGTCATCCTGTAAAATATCATTGACATTTTATTTCGTTCATAATTCAAAATGTGAAGCAACCAAGTAATGCAGTGAATTTTTCTCCTTACAACTCAGCAGAGCTCTTAAAACACTTGTAGTTGTGGGGACTATATCTCTGAAAGCCTTTAGACGGATTGTTGAGATATAGATTATAGTATGGAATCAAATTTATATATTGATGAGGAACACCGTTGTCAATACAGTACTGTACTACAGTGTTATTAAAGTGCGACAATGAAATTTCCAGAAGCTAGATCTCATCTAAAATGCAAAGGAATTTTGTCTGTTTCCTTCTTATTTTGTGGGTGCTTGGAAGATGAAGATAAAAAAGAGTGAAAAAAAACTACAGACGACACAGAATCCAAGAAACTGAAACCTAACAGAGCTGTGAAAGGAATTAGGCCATGGGATGCCTCTTCATTAACTGAATTCACTTTTTAGCAGGTGCCACTCCCAAATTATTATTATTTGGGTACCTTATTCATCACTTGGGGTTTTTCCAGGTCAATAATGTAAAATTCATAAGTAGAGGTTGTCACCTGGAGTGATGGCAAGTTCTATCTGCTCCCAGCGCTGTGGTGCTGGTTCAAGTCATGGGAATCTACCTCTTCACAGCAAAGGTGTTAGAATATGTTAGAATAGGAAATAATATTTGCTATATTTTATTCTTATTTGATTTTATTTTTCCTTGATTGATGTAATGGGCTGGCCCATAATTTATGCCTAATGGCGCTCCTGTAATTACGTATTATTATCAATATAAAAGGGAATGAGGTCTCACTCATTCCCTATCTCTTTTTCTTCTCTAAACTTACATGGTATCAGAGCCAAAACCATAGCCCATCCCTCCCTTTACTCTTCTTCTCTTCTGTCGGCAATCACCCATCCCTTTAGCACCACTGCCGACAGTCCCTTTTCACTTGGGAGTGCTGTCGGCAGTCCTTTCTTTCCCCCAGCAGTCCAGTCGGCCACTATAGACTCTCACTCAGCCCACCTACGGTCAACCCAAACCTCCGACACCCTTGCCCAGGTCTTCGGCAATCCTCTTGGGCTCCCCGATAGCTTATTAGGCTTAGTCGGCAGCCCCTTTAGTCTTCTAGGGGCCTGTCGGTAGCCCCTCTAGCCTTCTTGGCCGCTGTTGGCCTTCTCTCTTCTGTAATGTTTTCCACTTAAACATCTCTTAAACATCTTTAAAAAAAATATTAAAAAAAAAATTGATAAATTAAAAAAAAAATTCTTAATTTTCAAATTTTTATGTTTTTTTTGTGGTCATAGTGTTTACTATTCTTCCACCATCTTCTGGGTTTGTGATTGACATTGGGTTTGAGGGTTACTTAGTAGAATATCCATGGCAGATTCCACTAGTGAGTCAACAACTTCTTAGCCGTCTAAGAGCGAGAGTCCCCTTATACCTTCTACTATGATTGATAATCTCAACCCTAGCCTTAAAATCACCACTTTTCTATTCAATAGTCAGAACTATCTAGCGTGGTCGCAAAGTCTGACTATTTTTTTGAAGAGTAGAGGAAAGATAGGGTATGTTGATGGCAGAATATAGGCACCCAGCATCACGGACCCTAGTTATGATCAGTGGGAACTCACCAACTCTTTCATCATGGGTTGGTTCATCCACTTTATGGTCCCTGAAATTGGGGAGGGCTATTTTGCTATGGACACTGCATAGGATATCTGGGAGGCTATTGCTACTACTTATTCCAGAAAGGGAAACTTCTCATAGCCTTTCGAGTTACGTCGCTCCATTGAAAGGTCGGGTACAAGGTGAGATGACTATCCTCCAGTATTTTACCTTTCTTAACAATGTGTGGAAGCGGCTTGATCACTTTCAGGATAACAAGCTTGTCTGTCCCACTGATTCTATTGGTTATCGGAAGTTTGTGGAGCAAGAGCGGGTCTTCAAGTTCTTGGAAGGCCTAAATGTGGAGCATGATCTAGTTCGGAGCAAAGTACTTGGTATGGACTTGCTTCCTTCTCTAGGAAGCCTTTGCTTTTGTGTAGAACGAGGAGAGTTGCCGTTCTGCAATGCTTCCTTCTACCACTACTGATCGCTCAGCCTTCATTCTTGCACCCTCTCGAGATGGAGAGCGTATGCTTTGTGGTTCTCGTCCTTCCTCTGAGAAGGATAATCTTTTCTGTGACCACTACCGTAGACCTATACACACACGAGAGACTTGTTGGAAGCTACATGGGATTCCTTCTGGTGGCCGAGGCAATCGTCTTGGTTCTCGAGGGGTAGGTCGAGCCAGACTGATGGGCCAATGCTCGGGCACATCTTTCTGACACGGTTGAGCCACCACCTCCAGCTCTTGTTGCCTCACCGGCTGCTGATGTTTTTGGGTTGTCTGCCTCAGAGTTTGAGCTTGCTCTTCGCCACTTGCTAGCTAGACTATGAAGCCTCTACTATTGTCTCCAGTGCATCCTCTTCTTCCTTTGCCAACTCAGGTAATTTGGCTTCCTCTACTAGTGCATTGCTATCTCATAAGACTATTCCTTAGATTATTGATTCTGGTGCTTCCGACCATATGTCTGGTTCTTCTAATTTGTTCTCAAAGTATACACCCTCCTTAGGTCAGGAAAAAGTGCGTATTACTGACAATACTATTTCGTTTGTGTCAGAGAAATGTTTAATTCATGCCACCTCTTCCCTTCCTTTATTCTCTGTACTCCATGTTTTCAATTTTAGTGTTAATCTCTTATCTTTGAGTCGTATTACTTGTGATTTGAATTGTAACGTGACATTTTTCCTGATCATTGTCTTTTTTAGAACCTTATCACGAGGAAGAGGATTGGCAGTGGTAGAGGGGAACATGATCTCTATATTTTGGATCAAATAGACAAGCTGGCTCATTCATCTATTCAGTTACCATCCACCAACGAAGACCTTTGGCTGTGACACCATCGCTTAGGACATCCCTGTTTTTTACTTCTTAGGCATCTTTTTCCTTCTGTTTTTGAGAAAAATAATGTGTCTGATTTTCAGTGTGAGTCATGTCAATTTAGAAAACAACACAAAGCTTCTTTTGCTCATTTTATTAATAAAAATTCAATTCTATTTTCTTTGATTCATTCTGATGTATGAGGTCCCTCACGTTTTGTGTCTTTAAAAGGTCAACGATGGTTTGTTACTTTCACAGATGACTGTTTGAGGGCCATTTGGGTATATCTGATGAAAGACAAGAGTGAAATGTTTTTTGTGTTTCAAAACTTTCATAGAATGGTTTGTACTCAGTTTGGGGCGGTTGTAAAAATTCTGCGTTCTGATAATTAGAGGAAATATATTGACTTAGGTCTTGCCAATTATTTTGCCACCCATGACATTATTCACCAAACTTCTTGCGCCAATACTCCTCAACAAAATGGTGTTGTAGAATAGAAAAATCACCATCTCTTTGATGTGGCTCATTGTCTATCCTTTGAAATACGTGTCCCTCGATCATATTTTGGGGGGGGGAGCGGTTCTCACTGTAGCTTATTTGATTAATCGTCTTCCCACCCAAGTCCTTCAGAAATGAACCCCTCTTTAGGTTTTGTTCGGGTCCACGTCTTTTGGGTTCTCCATTCCCTCTAAGACCTTTGGATGTGTTTCTTTTGTCCATAATCATTCACCCACTCGTGGTAAATTGGATCCTAGGCCTCTTAAGTGTGTTTTCCTGGGTTACTCTGCCACCCAAAAGGGCTATAAGTGTTATCATCCTCCATCTCGCAAATGGTTTGTCTCCATGGATGTCACTTTCTTCGAGTCTCACCCTTATTTCCCGACCTCCCTAGTGTCATAGTCATCCTTTCACGGGGAGCCTTGGTGTGAAGATTTTCTTGTACCACTATCACCAGTGGTTGAATAGATATAGGATGTTAAGCTAGCAATTGTTGTGGAAAAGGAAGAAGGCAAAGTTTATGTCAAGGACAAAGATAGATAGAAAGTAACCTGGATGCAAGAGATTACTTTCCCTTCTCTACTGTCAACTTCTTCTCCAGATGAGTGTCCGAGGTCATCTTCCTCTCTTGAGAGTGTAGGTAATTTTGATCCTAATGCTCCTATTCCTGAGTTCTCAGATCTTGATGTTCCCATTGCTAATAGGAAGGGGGTTAGGTCATATACTCAATATCCTATTACTAATCATGTCTCTTATTCTAATCTGTCTCCCTCATATAAAGCCTTTTTATCTAAATTTTTCTCCGTGAGTCTGCCTAACAATGTTTAGGATGCTCTCTTTATTCCTGAATAGAAACATGCCATGATAGAGGAGATGAGAGCTCTCAACAAGACTGGCACTTAGGAGTTAATAGAGTTACCTAGAGGCAAAAATCTAGTTGGGTGTAAGTGGGTGCACACTGAGAAACACAAAGCAGACGGTTACATAAAGTGGTACAAAGCAAGATTGGTTTCTAAGGGCTTCACTTAAACTTATGGGGTAGATTACTAGGAGACATTTGCATCGGTTGCTAAGATGAATTCTGTGAGAATACTACTCTCTCTTGCAACAAAATTTGGATTGGCTACTTCATTAGTTTGATGTGAAGAATGCCTTCCTTCATGTAGACCTAGAAGAAGAAGTCTATATGGATATTCCCCCTAGCTTTGAGGATGCTAGGTTCAAAGGTAAAGAGTGCATGTTTTGGAAGTCACTTTATGTGCTAAAGTAGTCTTCTTCTAGGGCTTGGTTTGAAAGATTTGCTCAAGCTACGCTGAGATATGGGTTCAAGCATAGTCAAGTTGATCACGCCTTATTTGTGAAACACT